ACACTGCTCGCCGAAAAAAAGAAAATTGCCGCACTTGGAAAATGAAATCGCACAGGTCTGAAATTCGAAGGTGCAAAATGATTGAAATTTGGTTAAGAAAGGTCACTTTTTTCCTCAGAGTATCTAGGCCTAATTGCAACCCTAATTTCTAGGTGTTGCAACTTTTTTTGACGAGCAGTGTATATTTGAATAGACTGTAGAATTGTTTCTTCGGATAGTTTGGTCGTATATGGAAATGTAGATTTCTTCGTTATTAATGAATATAAACGAGAGATATAAACAAAAAATTTGCATATTAAATCCTATTTTGTGTAGGTTGCAAATATTTGAGAACGTCAGGCGTGCTTAATGTAACCTGTGATCAATTTACATTAGCTGATTATAATTTAACAATGCAATTTTATTCTGTTCCTTTGCATTTTCCTAAAAGCGGGATTATTGCTGAAAATTCTACGTTCATTTTATGCATACCGGGTGTCCAAATGTTTTCCGACCAAACTTCGTCAGTGTGTTCTGTGGGTATAAATAAGAAAAAGATGTTAAATAAATATAGATCGTTTAAAGCTTTCTTAAAAAGTTAGTAACCGAAAAGTTCTACCTATTTCCTATTTTTGTTATAACTTTTTAACGAAACTTCAAACGACCTATGTTCATATAACATTTTGTTCTTACTTATGCCCATAAAATATACTGGCAAAGTTTCATAAAAAAAAAATTCGGACACCCTATATATTACTAATTCGTTACCTTACTCAAAGGTCCTTCAATTTCGAACTTTCCTCCACAATTCGTGTATCTGTCTTAACCCTTTCGTGACAAAATTTCTAAGAATTTATTATTTATCTACCGATCATCGTGTCTACAATAGATACTAAATTGAAATAAACTTTTGTTAGAGTATTCAAGCACACCTAGGTTAACCACCTACAAGAAGCAGAGTTTTTCATTCAAAATGGGGGTTTTAAACTTTCCATTCAATATCGATAATTGTCATTTAGCCATCGATAATTCTTCCATTCGAATCGAACCGAACTTGAAACGTTTCCACGATATTATCAACACGAAACTTCACAGGGTTTGTATATAGTCCTCTATCTCCCAATTACACGGTGCCTGAAGATTGCTCCAGCCGCAAGAGGTGGTTCGCCGCAAATGTAATTAAGTAGCCGTGACGTATTTGGTAACATCTCGATCGTTCAAAGCGAGGCTTTATCGTTACGCTGGAGATTATCCGAAGCGCAATCACTTTAGCGAAGGGAGATGAGACCGGTGGGAGGAACTTTTGATCGCGAACAATACCGTCACTGTCATCTCACCACGAGGGTTAATCATTCAACTTTGAATCGCGGCGATGAACACACGTTTCCTGCACGTACATTGGCCTAAACTGCCGGTTAGGATAGTTTTCTGGAGCGAATGAAAACTGTATAGAGACATCGAACAGAAATTCTCTTGAATGAAATAAAATTCGATTCGTCAAGTACAAACGTGAGGTTTGTGTAATATGTTATTATTGGGGTTTAAATGAAATTTATCGGTTTTCGAGAATATTGAAATAATTCTGAACTATTTGGTGGGAAAGTTCCAGAAAGTGGGACAATATCCACCATTGACAATTTAACCCCTTAACCTATGACAACCCGTCAGACTCGTGGCAGAGATTCTGGCGAAGATGTGAGAAAAATAGTTGTATTAGTGAGAAAAATTAATTGTAATCCTAAATTTCGTTTTAATTTGTAAGATTAAGGATTCCTAAATGTAATTAATCTGTAATAGATTAGCTTTTTTTACGTGATACGGTATTAAAACATTAAATGGCTGACGCTTAGATGCATAGTCAGAAGAGAAATCATAGGTCAAGGGGTTAATTAATTTCTTTCATATTTAATTAAAATAACATTTATATTGGATAGTGATCGATGTCCAGAAAATTATTGCCATTGATATTCAGTCTATAAAAACAAAATTAAATCTTCCAGCATTCACCCAAGCTTCGTCGGGATAATTAGAAATTCAAGTGATACATCGACAACTGAGAAATAATTTTTATTCAAATTGTACTCCAATAAAGAGAAACTTTATTTCGTGTTGAAGAGTAATACTGATAAATAAGAAACACATAAATAATGCAATATACTTTCCACTTGCAATT